TGTAGATGGGCACAATATCTTTATTTTATTTATTTATTTATGTGGTGCTGAGGATCGAACTAGTGCCTCACACGTGCTAGGCAAGCGCTCTATCATTGAGCCACAATCCCAGCCCCTAAATCTGTTTATTTTTGATCCAGCATTTCTGCTTCCAGAAATAGAGCCCACATATGTCCATTCACTATCTCATTATTTATATTTGTGGAAATTTAAAACAGACCAAATATTCTCCAATAGGGAATGGAGAAATCAGTACAATAAAATATGAAAATATATTAATAAATGATATAGATCTACATGTACTTATGTGGACATTATCACAGTAAGTGAATAGTACAAGTTGTAGGAAAGTATGTTCACTGTGATCCACTGTCTTAACAAAACATTCATGCATACTTTTATACACATGTATTTGTATACACAGGCATACACATATATATTAGCATTTGCATGAAGAAAATCTGGAACTATATGCCATAAACTATGAAGAAGATGATATTACAGGATATTTTCATTTGCTGGATTATATATATATATATATATTTGAAATTCATAAGAATGTATTATTATTTTCATAGAGAAATCAACACATTTTCCTTGTACCAAAGTTCCAGGTGTTTGGTTATCTATTATTGACTAACATATTGTCCCAAAACTTTGCAACTTAAAACAACAACCCACCCCCCTCTTTCTGTGGTTTAGGAATCCAGGAATGGTTTGGCTGAGTAACTTGGGCTTGGAATATCTCATGAACTTGAAATCAAGTTGTTCTCTGGGATTACAAACATTTGAGTGCTTGACTGGGGCTGGAGAATCCACTTCCAAAATGGCTTGGTTGTTGTCTGACAATTTAGTGCTAGTAGTTGACTGGTGGCCTTAGTTCCTTGTCACATGGATCTTCTAATAGTGCTATTCAAGTGTTCTCATTACACAAGTGCAAACTTCCAAAAAGTGTATGTTCCAAGAGAGGGCCAGGCAGAAACCACAATGTCTTTTATGACCCAATTTTATGTCATACTTTGTCACTTCTGCAAAATCCGAATAGTTACCCAGGCCAAACCTATTCTATATGAAAAGGAACCTACAAAGGGTGTGATACTGGAAAGGGAGAAATCAATGAGGACTTTCTTAGAGCCTGGCTTCCACACAGTTAAGTTAGAGAGTAAAGAACCAAATATTTAATAATACTCCCTCCCCCTTTGGTCTTGAGGAACAAGATGTTCCTTGAGAAAGAAACAAAAAAGCCTTTCTCTACAGTAGTGGAAAATACATAAGGAAAACTAGTAGTCTTAAGTGTTTTTTTTTTTCCAATCAGAAAAATGTGTGAAATTGGAGGATTCTGACATGCTCAAAGAGGGAATGAGGGAATGAGTATAGTTCTTAAATATTCAGCCACTAAGTGAAAATGGACTGCACATGTAACAACTCTATTTCTTTGTATGATGACAAAAGATATGTTCTCCTCTTTCTGTAGTGTATCAATAGAGAATGGGGAATCTGGGCTCAATTTTTTAACTTACTATTTTTATTTACTTACCAATCATTATCAATCAATGTTGTTTCTTCTTTCCAAAGACTTATGGTATTCAATACTGAACTAAAAGCTAATTCTGATAGTCTTCAAAGTATGGATGATATAGGCAGCAGTAAGAAAGTAGAGGCAGACTTATTTGAGGTTTGTGTTTACTTAATGTGTGGGGACTATTAATTGGCAGGCTGAGTAATTCTTCAGAGCCAAAAGTCCTTTTCGGAAACTTTTTGGGTCAGAAGAGTGTGGACAGGTAACATGGTATATATATCACATATAATGTCCTCCTCTGGAGTTTGCAGAAATAATCAAATAATAATATTTCTGCAGTAAAATATGAACAGCTATACTGAGTAAGGTAGACCATAAGCTTCAAAAAAGATAAAATAGTTTTTGCTATTAAATAAGCTTGTGAAAAATTCAAAAAAAAATCTTCTCTAGTCTTCAATGTTTTTAGGATTTCAGACCTAGATTACAAAATACATTTGAATCCAATAAGATGCCCTGTTATTATGATTATTATAATAAAAATAATCCCTATAAGAAAAAAAATAAACCAGTAGGATCTTATTGTAAGTATTTTATGTTACTTCCATCTAACTTTTTGTGGCCTAAGCTCAATATCTGTAATATTTCCTTCAAAAAACCAAAAGTATTTATCATGTTCCTTTAATTTTTTAAAAAAAGGTGTATAATTTTAAAATTTCATAAAGAAGTAATGAACAATATTTCTGGATTATATGTGAACAGTGTCCCATGGGAACTGAAAGGTGATCAGTTTGAGTCTGGTTCCTCTGATTTCATCTTGGCTTCAAGGAAGAGTACACCCAGGCTTGGTAAGGCAAGTGTGTCTGGGGCTGAAGACAGCTTCCCTAGACCTGGACATCAAAGAGTCTACATCTCATCCCCCCATAGGCAGCCTGAAAAAGTGATGAAAGTAGGTTTGGGAAGTTTCAACTCATTCTCAGAAGAATGGAAACTAGAGGAGGCATTTCTAGATGGGAACTAAGTGATCTCTGAGACATAAACTGAGGCATGAGGGTAAGACAGTAAGACTAGTAACTCAAGTTTTATGGCCTCTCTTGACTTCTGGTTGCACCAGGCAAGGGACCTGACATTCCAACTTCCAGACCAGATGCTTAGCTGGAGAGAGGTGTCTTGGTTCCACTTGTGTGCAAAATCTAACTGGATCAGTGACCACATGTTTACAGTGATCACTCAGTGTGCAGAGGTGGCCTGTTAATACCTGTAGTCTCAGTATAATTAACAGTGTCTCATTCTGTTCTCAGAAGTATCTACAGGGGAGGGCAATGAGTAGCTTTTTCTAAGTCAGCGGGAAAGGTATTTATTCAGAACAGTATGAAGAGTCAATGGTGGGGGGGCTGTGGTTGTGGTTCAATGGTACAGTACTTGCCAGGCACATTTAAGATGCTGGGTTTAAAATACTCAGCACCAATAAAAATGAATAAATAAATGTATAAAAATGTTTTTAAAAAAGAGTCAATGGGATGGGAAACTCTGCATTAAAGGACAGGAAGAGGAGTTTCGGTGGTAGCTGGGATGAAGTCAAGCTGAAAGTCTTAACAGTGAGGTAAACACAACTGCCATGGGAACAGGAGAGTCCATATGGTGTCACTCTCTGGCTTGCAGTTCTATACTAGAGAAGTCTCCACCTCCAAATTCCATATAGATCTTCCTCACATTATTTTTTATTAATCTAATAATCAATCAGGTATTTGGAAATCCTACCAAAAAGAGATTGTTCTTTGTGTTAATCAGCTTTTTGTTACTGTCACCAAAACAATTGTAACAAGAACAACTTAGAGGAAGAAAAGTTTATTTTGGTTCATGGTTTCAGAGGTTGGGTCTATGGTCAACAGGATCCAGGGCAGAAACATCATGGTGGAAGGGCATGGTGGAGGAAAGCTGCTCAGCTCATAGCAGCCAGGAAGCAGAGAAAGAGAAAGCAAGGGGCCAGGGACAGGTATAGTTCCAAAGGCCACACCCCAAATGACGCCTAGCCACCCAGCCATCTATTTGCATACAGTTACCACCCAGTAGTCCATTTAAATTATTAACTCTTCTTCCATGTTTGACCCATAGAGGTGGGTCCTGAGTGTCTGATGACCTGTAACCCCTAAAGGAAGTGCTGAGAACCTGGCTTGGCAAAATCTTGAGAGAGTTTTACAAAATAATCACATATATAAAGAAGTCAGTGAGGAAAAAAAAACTATTAATAGTAGGCTTGTATTTTGGTCTTAACAAAAGTTCTTTTGAAGACAAAGGAATGAGACAAGAGGTTCAGAGAGCCACAATTCAGGTCTGGCTATGACCCTTGGTCAGGAATTCCCTGGGGGTTGTGGTATCTGGAGAAATCCAAATGAAAGGCATCTTTATAGACATATTGTTTTGTTAGTCTATACTTGTTCCTTGAGGGGACTGTTCCTGACCCTCCTTAATGTTCTGTAAAGGAATGTAGTACATAAAAGAAGCTGTAGCCATCATTTTACCACAATCACCCTGATTGACTTCCAGAACCACTGTTTGATTTGGGAATGGCCATATGGCCCAAGTAGGGTAGTCTTTTCCTGGATTATTAGAGACCCAGGAAAGAAATATTTCCTTTGAAGGACACTGTGGGCTGCTAAACTGGCTCTCTCAATCTATTCTACTAGGGCTAAGAAAGATATACTT